TAATACATTATCAATAGTAGTTACATTCAAATACTCATAAGTTGATATGAATTTTGGTAAACCTCAACTTTATACTTCCAGCATTTACACACAAGTATCTAGTAGTATGTGAGATCTATGTATGTTGAACAGTTTTCTCTTTAAAACATGGCTAAATTCCCAAAATGATTAGCAATAACCTTCACTCTCTTCCTGAGTCAGTCCAGAGGCAAAATATCAAACACATCTCTGGATAATCTTAAAAGTGCTTACAAAATGCCTTTTGAGAGGAGCCCATAGGAAGAGCTACATCCTTCCCATCTTAGGTTGTGGCATGAAACATGCTTGATGCTGTACTCCTGAGACAGGAGGTGCTCGGTTTCCCTGAGTTCAGGTTTCATGACACACCTCTGGGTTTCAAGCCACTCCCCAAGGTCTCAGGCCCCTCCTCAAGGCTCTCCCCTAGAAGAAAGTTACTGTTGCTTGTTACACCTATTTTCAGCACCAATGAGGGGAAATTGAGACTGCAAGGGGCTGGCTTATGCAAATCCAGTGGTTGGGCATGCTCAGTAGAGAGAAGTTATACAACTCTAATAGAAAAGCATGCTCAGTAAAGTGGAATTTGTCCTCTGAATGACCTTCCACTAGGGGTGCTAAAGAACACAGAATATTCTTGAAATGTTCAGTACATGTGATAGAATCTGTCCAATAAACATGCCCTAAAAGACCAAATGAGCACGTGTAAGACTATATTACATAACAGGGAACCACTCCCTTAGTTTAATATTCATTAGATAGCATGTACATGTATTAGACAGCAAAACAATAAAAGCTGAATCCTGGTAGGAAGCAGGTTTGTTCCTCACTTTTCTGGGGCCAACCCACACTTCGCTGGCTGAGGCATATATGCTTTATTTTTGTGTGAAACTTACTTTTAGCAGGAGACTGCTCACTCTCTTGAGCCAGCCTGCATTCTGTACTAAACTTGGTGTGTTTCTTACTTTTGTATTAAACTTGGTGTGAGCCCTGCTCAACCTCTGAAGCTAGGCTGTACCCTCCCTGTAAAACCTGTATTATATGTTACATTAAACTTGTTCTCAGTTTCTACTGTGACTCTGCTCTTGAATTCTTTCCTGTAGCAGAGTCAAGAACCTGGTAAGAGGACAGGACAGGTTGAGGCCAGGTGTTGGGCCTCCCCAGACCCTCTCCACTGACATCACCCCTGCCAGCTATGTGCTGCAGTAACTAAAAGTGCAACAGCCTACAAATTCCAAGAAGCCTTTAGGATTCTAGTAACCAGCGTCAATAGGAAACAGATAATTATAGCTCAAGTATGCATGAAATATATAAAGGAAATGGAGGCTGAGCAATCTTACAGACTATTCCAAACTTGTCATTCATTATAGACTACAACTACAACCATGTATGAGGTTTGGATCACTTTTTTTTTGCAATAAAACCTTTAGCAGTAAGCTAAAAAAATGTATGCTTAATGAAAAATTAAAGCATGAATTTCTATTTCTTAAGAACACTGACGATGGATTCCTGCTTTTGTCTAGGATATGAAAAACTGCAAAAAGTGATGCTTGCATCTGAA